CCTCCTCGTAGGAAGGCGGAGGGGTGGCACTGGACAGTCTGGAGAGGACGGAGACCGAGTGCTCGGGCGGGCAGAGGGTGCCATCTTGCTGGGGGGTGCCCCCAGCTCTGCTGTCTCCAGCCACCCGGTTGGTGGCTTCTCGCTGGTACTGGGTCTCCCCTTGGCTTTGGGACCTCTCCCGGTACACCATGACCCTGGGGAGGCTGCGTCCTGTTCGGCTGGCCAGGTAACGGTTCTGGGCGTAGGAGGGGCGGTGGCGGGTGGCCTTCTGAAGCTGGCACCTCCAGATGATGAAGAGGGCGATGACTATTAGAAGAGCCACTCCCAAGAGGGGCACCACCACATACATGGCATCTGAGCGCTCTGTGTTGTGCCCCGGGTCCTTGACAGAGTAGACAGAGTTGGTGTAGCCCTTCCAAAACTCCATCTGTGGCAGGAACCGAGAACCAATCATCATGTACTGCAGGTGGGGGCAAGCACCCCCTGACCACCACCAGCAATAATCACTGCCCTCCCTCAGGCCCACAGAAGAGGCAGTTTTTCAGCTGCCCTCGCCCCCACCACCACCACTTGCCAGCATCTGAGGCACTGTGGGAACCAACACAAAACACTGTGGGGACATCCTCAACAGCAGCCAACAGCCCCCACACCAAGCAGGGATAAATCTGGCTAACACCAACCCCAACCTGGAGAGTTAGGGACAACAGCACAAATTTCCCACACATGCCATGGGAGTGCCAGCTTGATATGCAGCTGTGAGCAGGGTGTCCTGGCAATGCCAAGGTGAGAGCATTCCCTGGGAAGGGAAAGTCATGCTGGACAGTGAGGCCATAGCATGCTGCCTGCAGACAGAAAAGGACAAGGGTGACAGGGAGAGGCTGTCCCCTGTGCTTTTCTTCTCTGCCCCCAGCTTGTTGAGGCATAAGTCCTCACACATCCACTGGGGAACAGGGCAGGAGAAACCCACCGTCTTCTCCTTGTTCTCGAACACTTCCTTGACCTCCTCGTAGCTGCAGACCTCCTCGATGCACTCCCGCTCAATGGTGCCCTGCCGGATCTCCTCCAGGAAGCTGTTGGCCCGGGGAAAACGCCTCAGTAGTGAGTGGGCATCCCTGGCCCCCAAGAACACTGCAACACACAAGGCAGAGACACGCTGAGCAGGGACAACCCCATACTGGGCCTCTGCCCAGCCAAGCTTCTCCACCAGGCTTCCCACAGGATTTTGGTGATCCAGACATGCCAAACACCAAAAAGACCAGGGCTACAATTCAGTTAGCACAGCAGAGTGCCCACTGAGAGAGGGCACACACAGAGGGGTGCAGGGCTCTGGGGATCTGCCTGGAGACATACAGCATCAGGAGCATCTTTCCAGCAGGGCACAGCTGCTAGAGACATCAGAAGTAGCAGGTGCCAACCACACAGGGCAGCTGGAGAAAAGACAGAAGGCTCCAAAAAGACTTATTCTCCATCTCCTGTCCTTGCTGGGATTTCACCTTACTGACCCTTGGCTGCAGGGCAAGGGAGATCCCACCAGGCGGCAAGACCCTGCAGGGCTGGGACACAGAGCTGGTCCTCTCTGCCAAGACATGGGGCCAGCACTGAGAGGGACTCACAACACACTGAGCATCATTTCACCGTCCTGCCATGCATCACTGCAGAGCCCCCCCTCACTTCACACCCCCATAGCCCCCCAGGAGGAGGGCAGACAGCCTGCAAGCTGGTGCCCCTGCTGCCAGCTGCTGTGGGGTCATGGAAGCTCAGATGGCTTCAGGGACTCTGTCCAGTTCCCAGAGAAACCTCTGTGTCTTTGCCCAGGCCCAAGAAGGGCAAACATCCTCAACACAAGGGAATGGAAAGAGGGTCATGGACCAGGTACTGAAAGGGGTCTGAGCATCATGTTCTCTTTCCCCCTGCACTTTGGTGCAGAGGCCTTACAAACCTCTCTGCTCCCAAAGCCTGGGAGACTCTATTGTTGCCCACATCAGGTCTTCCCACAGAGCATGCAGTCAGGAAGCCAGACTGAGCAGGAATAGCACATTCCTGCCTGCAAGAGAGACAGCCCTTTCAAAGCCTCTCCCCTCCCTGTTCTGCTGAGGGGGGAGACCTCCATGGGGGGCTTGCAGCAATCACCTACCAGGACCTGCAGCAGCACAGGAGAGGCAAATGTATTGCTGATCAGAAAGCAGAAACTCCACACAGATCACCATCCTTCCAGAACCCAAACATCCCATACACACATCTATAAGAGTATTTCCGTAATGCAGCTCAACACACTCAGCTGCAGGCTGGCACCAACTCTTCCCACCCATAATCATGCTGCTTCCCTCGGGGAAGATGAATCAGTTCAGCTGGCTGATCCACAGAAACCTGTTTACCTCCTCCACCCTCCTACTCAGTCTTCTATTGGATCAGCCAGATGAACCAACTCCCATTGCAGCAACACCAACAGATATAGGGCAAGGAGGGGACAGCCATTAGACCAGCTTGGCTGTAACACAGAAATACTCCCTCAGTAAGGAATCCTGGTGAAGATCAAATGTAAAAGTCGGTGAAAAGCTACCAACTTCTTTCATTAGGAGCCTTTTACCAGAGACAGACAGGTTTCCTTCTGCTTTACCTTCCACATATCCTGCTCCTAAAATGATACAGCAAAGTATTTGTGAGGGTATTTGTAAATGTCAAAGCAGCAACAAGATCATGGTGTAGGCAAGTACTACTGTGCTACACCATCCTCTGCTTGGAGGCACTGTGCTCTTTTTGTGCTGTGTAGGTGCATTTTCCCCCCCATAATTTATTAATGGCTTGCTTCAGTGAGAGTTTGGAGAGGGCTGAAGCACTGAGGTGTGAATGAAGAACAGCATGAATGATATGAGTCAGAGACCTTCCTTCAGAATTGACTTTATTATGCAAACCTTGTGTTGCTGTTGTTATTTTTGGTTTGGTTTTTTTTTACAAGAACAACTGAAAAAAGCATGTTCAAGAGGCACAGAAGGCATCTTGCAGGAGGGCAGGGATCAGCTTGCCTTGGCTTTCACAGTTGAGGAGGGCAGTCCTGGCTGGAGAGGGAGCAGGCTGAGCTTCTCTTGAGCCCTTCCAGAATGAGATGAAATTTTACAAAGACACCATCCGTTCCATCAATGTCCCACCCCTTCGTGGAGAACTCTGGCTCACCTCCTTTGCCTCCCACCTTGACCAGGCAGTGGTATCAACTCTTCTCTCCTCAGCACTCGAACCTGAGCCTTTTTCCAACATCTTCAGCACATGTTGGAGCAACAAGCTTGGCTACACATCTCACTGTCAAGGTTTTCCATCCCTGCAGGTAACAGCCACTTGAGCCCTTCCCTGCTTTGCCATGCTGAGCTGCTCACTACGGTGGTCAATAGAAACAGGCACACAAGCAGGCAGGTATCACAAGAAATGTCCCAAGGGAAAACACTGGAGGTGCGTGCCTCTCCCCACATCCCATTTTCCTCAGGGACCTAGAAATGGCAGAAGAGCAAAAACTAAGTCACTGCTCCCTCCCCTCTTTTACCTGGGAAGTGCAAAAAGCTCTCACATGCCTGGGGACCAGAGCAGGAAGAACAATGGCCTTCAGGAAACAAGAGCCTTGCCAACCCGCATCTCCAGTCTGGATCCCCAACTGACATGAAAAGCTGAGCAGGTTCTGTCCCCAACCTGCAGGGCAGAGGGGACTTCACAAGGCCCAGCAGCCTCAGTACAGACCCCTTGTGCCTCTCCAAGTCTCCCCACACCAGCTGGAGAACCGGTGCTCAGGAAAGATCAGAGCTATAGGCAGGGGGAGCAGGAGGGAGGGCTGGGTTCACTGCATCTCTGCTGGGTTTTCTGAGGTGCTGCTGGCCCCTGGTGGCAGCCAGGCTTGGCCACGCCGCCACCCCACAGCTCTGCTGCCCGGCTTGTGGGGACATCCTCGGGGCTGCTGCTCTGCAGATCGACACGTGGCTGTGTCCGTGGAGGGACAAGCCAGGGCTGCGTGCTGCCAGAAAACGCATGATGGTGAACATGCTGACCACCACATCCCCCTCCTACACCATCAGGGTCACCATGAAGGGGACTGCTTGGCAGGGCACACTGCCACCACAGGGCACACCTCCACCAGTAAGTGCTGGTGAAGCTCTGAGAAGGAGAAAAGGCAGCAGCAGCAGTGGAAGAAGGCAGGGACCCAGCTAGGTACCCTCCTCATCAAAAGAAGATTAAAACTGCCTTTTAAAAACACTGTCTGAAGAGCTCGGCTCCCTCCCCCACCTAGCACAGCACATATAAAGAAAGAAGGTGTGATACCTGTCATCTCTGGCGTCCTCTTGCTGCCCAGCATGGCTACTGCCTCCACCTTCTTAGCTGGCTCCAGCAACACCCCGAGCAAATCCCGACATCCCAGCCAGATCTGCACCTCTCCCGCTGACAAGTGCCGTCCTCCCGGCGCTCCCAGCTCACGGCTACGCGCAGCCTCAGCGCAGGCTGCCCAGGAGAGCGAGGAGGGAGGGTTGAGTCCAGCTCTTTACAGACCACACGCCATCCTCCACCCTCGCCAGCCTCAGCCCAGCTTTAGCCACTGGCCCCAAGCAGCCCCATCTGCCAGGTGCTCCTTCAGACACCGAGGTGCAGGGCCGGGTTGGGCAGCTGCCTGTCCACCGGGAAAGCAGAGCCCCAGTGCCACCAGCCACACAGGCTGCAAGGCAGCGTGTTCCCCAGGATGGGCAGCTCCTGGGATGCCAGTCACGAGGAGCACTGTTGCTGGGAGATGGCAATGCAGAGCAGCAACCCCTGCAGAGGGGTCAGTCAGTCCCAAGAGCCTTAGGGGGGCCTGCCTTGCACAGCAAGCATCACGCCACGAAATGCTGCAGCCTCCGGGGAGTCCCGGAAAGGTCAGCCCTTCAGCACCTCCTCTTGACTCCCACCTTGCACAGGGGAGAGAGAAGCACAAGTCAAACTGGACCTCAGCCCTCCTCCAGAGCTAACAGCTGCCAGCATCTGCTCCCCACAGAGAATAACACCCCCCAAAAGAAGCACAGGCAGCCCTTCCTTGAGAGGTAGCTGCCAAACATCCCCCTCTTCCCCTCCAGCACCACTGTCACCTCTCCATCTTCACTGGGGAACACTTACTTGCCATGCTGCCTCACTCGGCTACGGGGAGCTCCTGCCTACCTGCAGGGAAGAAAACAGGAGAGTCACTGACAGCTTAAATTTCACCCCCTGAAGCGCAAGACCTCCATCACCCAGGGCCAGATTCATGCAGAGAGAAGGGAGCTGTCTGAGCCAAGGGGCTCAGGGCACCCTCGGCTCTCTTGAGAACTGGGGCAGGTCAGGCTCTGCCCAAGAAGCCCAGAGGGCTGCAGACAAGCAAAGTAGGAAGGGAAGAAGTGGATGAACAACAGTCCTTATGTCTCATCAACAGACGAGATGACCTGCATGTCAGAAGCTGCTGGGAGCAGCCTGGTGCTCTTTGCTCCCAGAAGAGATTGATGGATACAGGTAGAGCAGTCATCCTGTTTTAGATCCACAGTATGACAGTTCTCACTTCTGCAACTCCTACCCACAATCTGCAATAAACAGGGCCATACTGTTTTCTCTGCCATGAAGCTGACTACACAGCAGGAAAGAAAAAGAGATACATCTCCTGAAGGCTGTTGGGCCAAGCTAGGGCAGCAGCAAGAGTTACAGAGCTCCCCACACACTCAGGACATCAGCTCTCCAGCTGGAAAAGCACCTTTTGTGCTTCAAAGGCAGAACTAAATGAAACCCCAAAAGACCTGCAGAAGAAGAGTATACCCCTCTCTGCTCTCAGGAGGAGTTTCACTCACTTGTTTTTCCACATTTTATCTTCTCCCTGTGTTTAATGCCCCTCTAATCCAGCTATCCTGGGCAAACTCATCTCCTCTTGCCTTATGTGACATCTTGCTGTGGCAAAGCCACAGCTCTGTCAGGAGACAGAGGGGACCAGACTAACCAGCTCTCACAGAAACTTATTGTGGATGAAGGAGCAAACAATTAAAAACAGCAGCTGGAGCAAGGTCAGGGACAGCACAAGGCCATTCACAGGGTCAGTGAGGCTAGAAACACACTTCTCATTTTAAGTAAAAGGAAGGCACCCAGACACACAGGACTGATGCTCATCAGCACAGCTGGCACCACCACACCTCACCAACAGCCACCTTCCCAGTAAACCTAGCTCCTCTCCCTGCCAACCTCAGGTTTTGTGTGGTTTCTGAGGTTCCTGCACCAAAAAAGTGTCAAGAGGCCAAGCAAGCCTGGAGCTGTCTCCAGGAGCAGAAAGCAGCTTCCTTCCAACAGTTTGTGAAACTCAGATTGCAAACCACAGTCAGGAGTTTTAGCAGGAA